CCATTTGTTAAATTTGACCTGTGACGGAATTTGTTGTAATTCATGACTGAGAACGTTTGTTCACACACATATGTGGACCCGAATAAAACAAGCATCCTTTGGGCGTGCTTTTTTAATGTTTGGAAACTTAGTTTCATTCAGTGAGCCATAGAACTGGTCATTTGTTGCTGTTTTGTACTTCTCCTTCAAATCATGTCGATGAGCTCCAATTGTGTGTCTGGTGGTGCTTTCTCACTGTCGAAAGACAGGGGAAATGATACAAGCTCCAACTCAGTCTCAATCTTGGTGAAGTCTGAGAAGTGGCGGGAAAACTCAGCATGCAGGTCGATCAAAGTGCTACTGTATGTCTCAGAGCGGCACTGCGATGTGGGCGCGTTCAGTGCAGCCAGTGTCGGAAAATGAGCGAGCGACCGGCTGCTAATTTATCTGGAGAACAACATAGGTTTGGCCTTGAATGCTTTCACGTTGGAATACAGTTCATGCACAAAAACACAATTTCCCTGCAGTTTCACATTTAGATCGTTCAGATGCCCCAACATGTCCACACCGAAAGCAAAGTCGCCCAGCCAGTCTGTGTCTTTCAACTCGGAGAAGTCGTCAGCTTTACCAACCGTATCAAGGTACATACCTACAGTGAGGGAAAAAAGTATTTGATCCCCTGCTGATTTTGTACGTTTGCCCACTGACAAAGACATGATCAGTCTATAATTTTAATGGTAGGTTTATTTGAACAGTGAGAGACAGAATAACAACAACAACAAATCCAGAAAAATGCATGTCAAAAATGTTATAAATTGATTTGCATTTTAATGAGGGAAATAAGTATTTGACCCCTCTACAAAACATTACTTAGTACTTGGTGGCAAAACCCTTGTTGGCAATCACAGAGGTCAGACGTTTCTTGTAGTTGGCCACCAGGTTTGCACACATCTCAGGAGGGATTTTGTCCCACTCCTCTTTGCAGATCTTCTCCAAGTCATTAAGGTTTCGAGGCTGACATTTGGCAACTCGAACCTTCAGCTCCCTCCACAGATTTTCTATGGGATTAAGGTCTGGAGACTGGCTAGGCCACTCCAGGACCTTAATGTGCTTCTTCTTGAGCCACTCCTTTGTTGCCTTGGCCGTGGGTTTTGGGTCATTATCATGCTGGAATAACCATCCACGACCCATTTTCAATGCCCTGGCTGAGGGAATGAGGTTCTCACCCAAGATTTGATGGTACATGGCCCCGTCCATCGTCCCTTTGATACGGTGAAGTTGTCCTGTCCCCTTAGCAGAAAAACACCCCCAAAGCATAATGTTTCCACCTCCATGTTTGACGGTGGGGATGGTGTTCTTGGGGTCATAGGCAGCATTCCTCCTCCTCCAATCACGGCGTGTTGAGTTGATGCCAAAGAGCTCGATTTTGGTCTCATCTGACCACAACACTTTCACCCAGTTCTCCTCTGAATCATTCAGATATTCATTGGCAAACTTCAGACGGGCCTGTATATGTGCTTTCTTGAGCAGGGGGACCTTGCGGGCGCTGCAGGATTCCAGTCCTTCACGGCGTAGTGTGTTACCAATTGTTTTCTTGGTGACTATGGTCCCAGCTGCCTTGAGATCATTGACAAGATCGTCCCGTGTAGTTCTGGGCTGATTCCTCACCGTTCTCATGATCATTGCAACTCCACGAGGTGAGATCTTGCATGGAGCCCCAGGACGAGCGAGAGTGACAGTTCTTTTGTGTTTCTTCCATTTGCGAATAATCGCACCAACTGTTGTCACCTTCTCACCAAGCTGCTTGGCGATGGTCTTGTAGCCCATTCCAGCCTTGTGTAGGTCTACAATCTTGTCCCTGACATCCTTGGAGAGCTATTTGGTCTTGGCCATGGTGGAGAGTTTGGAATCTGATTGATTGATTGCTTCTGTGGACAGGTGTCTTTTATACAGGTAACAAACTGAGATTAGGAGCACTCTCGTTAAGAGTGTGCTCCTATCGCCGGTTAACGCTTGATCTGATTGAATCTAGGCCTAGAGCAGCTGACACGATCCCCCTCTACACAACACGTTTACATCTGCAACGTTGAATCTGATCTCTACCCTTCTCATAAAATGTCTTTACCTAGTTGTAACAGAGACCATTTGGTTGTAATCTGGTTATATGACAACGTATTTTCAACCAGAAAATGACGTCATTAAGACGCCATGTCAAATATTACCCATAGTTCCACAGTAAACTCTTTATCCCCCTAGACCTTCCGAACCTCTATCCCTTTGCTTCACAGTGAAACGTTTGATAACCTCTACCCCTCGTCTTCACGCTAGTAACACGTTTACCCTCTACCCCTTCCTCTGTTCACGTAACTGTTTTAACTCTACCCCCTATGTTTCAAGTACCACGTTTATAAGCTCTACCCCTCTGTTCACAGTAACACTGTTATAACCTCACTCCCTGTTTCCAGACTTTTATAACCTCTAGACCCCTTGTTCATAAACGTTTATAACCTCCACCTTCTGTTTCACTAACACTGTTTTACCTTCCCACACCTTCTGTTTCACAGTAACACGTTTTACCTCTACCCCCTCTGTTTCACATAACACTCGTTTGTAACCCTATCCCGCTCTGTTTCACAGTAACTCTGTTTATATACTCTACTCTGCGTCTTTACGTCACAGATAACACTGTTTATAATGGCCTCTACCCCGTCCTGTTTCACATAACTGTTTATAATCTCTACCCCCTATTTCACATACCACCTTTTATAACCTTAACCCCTCTGTTTCACAGAAACACTGTTTTAACTCTACCCCTTCTGTTTCACAGTAACACGTTATTTTAACACCACAACCTTCGTTTCACAGAGACACTGTTATACCTCCACACCTTCGTTTCACAGTAACACTGTTTATAACCTCTACCCCCTCTGTTTCACAGTAACACTGTTTATACCTCTACCCCCTCTGTTTTCACAGTAACACTGTTTATAACCTCTACCCCCCGTACTGTTTCACATAACACTTTTTAACTCTAACCACTTTTAACAGCTACCACTGTTTCAATAAACTTTAAACCCTCCCTCTGTTTCACAGTAACACTGTTTCTAACCTCTACCCCCTTCTGTTTCACAGTAACACTGTTTATAACCTCCACCACCTTCTGTTTCACAGTAACACGTTTACTAACCTCCACCCTTCTGTTTCACAGTAACACTGTTTATAACCTCTACCCCCTCTGTTTCACAGTAACACTGTTTATAACCTCTACCCCCTCTGTTTCACAGTAACACTGTTTATAACCTCTACCCCCTCTGTTTCACAGTAACACTGTTTCTAACCTCTACCTCCTCTGTTTCACAGTAACACTGTTTATAACCTCCACACCTTCTGTTTCACAGTAACACTGTTTCTAACCTCCACACCTTCTGTTTCACAGTAATGGGTATGAGCAGCTTTATGGCACCAGTTAAACCATACCAGACTAAACCTCTTGACATTACACCATTGTTTTTTTTATTGACAACACTGTTTTTCATTGACACCATTATTTATTTTTATTTTTTATTGACAACAGTGAGTGAACCCTTACTCCATAATGCCTGGCTGTCTTCACCAGCATTAACCCACAGGCTACTAAACAGCTGAGAAGAGAAAGTCATCCAAGAGCATCTAACTCCCCCTGGGTGGTCATTTATGATAACGTTGGTAAAATCAGAGCAGGTCTCTGCTTCCACCTGGTGTTCAATGTATGACAACATTTCGTGACAGCCTAAACACAGTACTGTATATAAAACCACTGTTAAAAACTCTCTGGGTAAAACAAACATTGTCACTTACAGTTTAAACCTAAGTTGGTATTACACTACTTAGTGATGTTAAAAAGATAGTTGGCATACATTTCACCCCAGCATGTGAAGCATGTCTTCTGTTATCGAGTATCAATTAAGAACCCCCACTTAAATATTTTGTCTTGCCCATTCACCCTCTGAATGGCACACATACACAATCCATGTCTCAATTGTCTCAAGGCTTAAAATCCTTCTTTAAACCGGTCTCCTCCCCTTCATCTACACTGTTTGAAGTGGATTTAACAAGTGACATCAATAAGGGGGATCATAGCTTTCACCTGGATTCACCTGGTCAGTCTATGTCATGGAAAGAGTTCCTAATGTTTTGTCCACTCAAGTGTATATTGTACGGTACGTCTGTCCCAAATGGCATCCTATTCTCTCTATATATGTAGTGCACTACTTTTGACTAGAGCTCTATGGGGCGCTGTTCAAAAGTAGTGCACTACATCAGGACTAGTGTGTCATTTGGGACGCGCCCTGGGTGTGTGCAACTGTATCAGGAGAGACACAAAAGGCACGTCCCGAATTGGGACAATAAAGATTGAATTGACATTATTGTACAGACCAGGCAGGGCTACCAGGTGTAGCAGGAGATTCAAATCAACGCTGACAGCTGCATTTAGTACCCTCTAGTACCACCATCCACTTTAAAGGAAAGAGGCAACATCATTTCTGTAACACTGGGGCATATTCATCAAAATTGTACGTGTGAAGAACATTAGACAGACCGCACTAAAAAAAACATGGTTTTCAATACAGTAGTTCATTGATTAGCCTACTTCATCTTTTTAACTGTAGTCAAGTGAGAGAACTTCATGAATAGTATTATGTAATGTCATTAAAAAACGTAAAAACATTAATTAGATACAACAGAAATAATAATAATAAAAAATGAAGACATGGAAGGTACAGACCAATAATACTCACATAATGGCTTGACATTCATGTATTAATACCACAGTCCATGGTGTATCAACTCTTTCCCAAAATTACCAGGTTTTCCTGAGAAAGGTAGGAAGATTCCCGGAATCATAAGGGAATCATAAGAGATTTCTGGGAGACCGGGGAATTTTGGGGAAAGTTACCAAAATGTGCAACCCTAACTCCACTGTATCTATCCATCAATCACCAACAGGTGCAGCTGACACCAGCCGCTAGTATTAGAATCACAGTTAGGGCGACCAGGAGTCCCAGAGCCACAATGGACGCCGTGACGGCCCAGATGTAGGTGCCCTTGGAGAAGTCGACCAGTGGGGTCCTCATGGCCAGCCTGACCCTGCGAGCCTTCTGGCGGTTCTGGGGTGGGTACCGCGCCATGTTGACCTCCTCCATGCCCAGGGACTTGACCAGACACGCCCGATGATGGCTGAACTGGTCAAAGGTGTGCTTCCCATGATACCTGCCTGTTCCGCTCTGACCTGTGGAGTGGGGTTAGCGATGTTAGACGTTATGATGTTCAAGCAGCGTTTTCCAGAAATCCCAGTTGGAAGATTCCCGGAATCAGGAGGGAATAAACAGGAAATCCAGGATCCTCCAACCAGGATTTCTGGAGAACCTGGGACATTTGGGAAAGTTGCTGGAATTTGCAACCCTAGTCCAAATTCAAGGATGCCCTATGTTGGCTACTGTATGCTGCTTTCCATTCCAGAAAACCTCTTCTATTACTGTTAGGATATGTGTGAAAGCAGTCAGGTGGTTCTCTGATTCAGATGGGGTTGGGTTAAATGCGGAAGACACATTTCGGGTTGAATGCATTCAGTTGAGCAACTGACTAGGTATCCCCCCTATCCCTAAATTAGATCTAACTTTTCAGTGCTTTAACAATCTTTAAACAAACAAAGATAAACGATAGATTGGCTGTTAGATTAGAATGGAAGATTAGAAAAACACATCTAGCAAGCATACAGCAGCCCGCCATCGGCAAAATCCGTTGCTCATCGTCATTACAGAGGATCGGTGGTGGCAGGCTGACAACACTAACAGCAGCCAGGGGTTTGCACCACCAAGGATTGTGTGTTTAGTCACAGTGTCAGACACACAAAGCCACACAAAAGACATTAGACATTATTCTAAAGCCAGGGGAACCAGACACAGGCACAGGGACATGTCTTTCGTTGAATGTACGTTGGCCAATCCAGGTAGAGACCGGCTAGCGCCAGATTTGCCAGAGCCTCCAACAGGTGCAGTTCAGGCCACCAGCGATTAGCAGGATGGCTGTCAAGGTGACCAAGAGACCGAAAGCAAAGACGGTGGCCGTGACGGCCCACACGTAGGTTTTCCTAGAGAAGTCGACCAGTGGGGTCCTCATGGCCAGCCTGACCCTGCGAGCCTTCTGGCGGTTCTGGGGTGGGTACCGCGCCATGTTGACCTCCTCCATGCCCAGGGACTTGACCAGACACGCCCGATGGTGGCTGAACTGGTCAAAGGTGTGCTTCCCATGATACCTGCCTGTTCCACTCTGACCTGTGGGGTTCAGAGGTCACAGGGCTAGGGTCAAAGGAGGGGTCAGAGGGTCATGTGACTTGTTGTTAAGGATTAGATGTTAGCTGCATGACGCTCTAGCAGTATTTCTCCAACTCAGTCCCAAGGACGAGCTACCCTCCAGCTCAGAACCAAGGACGAGCTACCCTCCAGCTACCCTCCAGCTCAGACCCAAGGACGCGCTACCCTCCAGCTCAGTCCCAAGGACGCGCTACGTTTGATGCTTGCTATTCCCACTGACCTATGTAGCCGATATGTAAGTAAAGTTAGCAAGTTACTTAGAGTAGAAGTTTGCCCAAGGCTTGACTAGCAGGTGTTGTCCTGGACAAATGTGTGGTAGTGTTGGAATAAGGTCGTGTTAAGCATCACTACCATAGGCATAAAGTTAGGGGGGGGCATTGTTGGCTCGGCTCTAATTGATGTGTTCTCACCTGGAGCTGCACTAGTCAGCCCTTCCCCCTCTGAGGGGCCAAAATGTATCTCTCTGTTACATTTTAGTCATTTAGCAGACGCTCTTATCCAGAGCGACTTGCTAACTGGATAAGAGCGACTGTGAGTGCATACATTATTATTTCTTTTATACTGGCCTCCCGTGGGAATCGAACCCACAATCCTGGCGTTGCAAGCGCCATGCTCTACCAATTGAGTTACACGGGACCTACATCAAGGCAAAGTTACAGTACCCAGAGGACTGACTATTGTGACAGAATAATGCTATAGTATCCATGTCTGGTATCTATCTGAAAGTTGTTCACTGAGGACAACTCTGATGCAATCTATATGTATGTGTGATCTCTGTGGTAACTTGTATCTGTACAGGGTGAACTCTGAATTACTCAAAGGGGTGTTATGTTCCTCTCAGGAACTCTGTCTTATTTACATCGGCCTCATCCCCCACACAAGCCTTTAGATGCTGTGACACCCTGTGGAGGTTGGGTCTTGGTGGTCAGGTTACTGTCAACTTGGTATCGTTTAATTGGTCAATGGGGGTTGGTTTTGGGTTGAAAAGGTTACACCTTCAGATGTTATACATGTAATTAAATGCATTTGTTCTCTCTCTCTTATCCTGTATCCGGTTCACTGAGGAAGGTTGTATGATACATTCTAATTTCCTAGATCTTCCAGGCCTCTGGCCTAGTACGCAGCTCTGTGTTCATGTTTTGTCCTGTAAGTTAACTTTAGGATCTACGCTACAAGTCAAAGGTTGTAGAACACCTACTCACTCAAGGGTTTTTCTTTATTTTTACTATTTTCTACATTGTAGAATAATAGGGAAGACATCAAAACTATGAAATAACACATATGGAATCATGTAGTAACCAAAAAAAGTGTTAAACAAATCAAAATATATTTTATACTTGAGATTCTTCAAATAGCCACCCTTTGCCTTGATGACAGCTTTGCACAATCTTGGCATTCTCTCAACCAGCTTCACCTGGAATGCTTTTCCAACAGTCTTGAAGGAGTTCCCACATATGCTGAGCACTTGTTGGCTGATTTTCCTTCACTCTGCCGTCCGACTCATCCCAAACCTTCTCAATTGGGTTGAGGTCGGGGGATTGTGGAGGCCAGGTCATCTGATGCAGCACTCCATCACTCTCCTTCTTGGTAAAATAGCCCTTACACAGCCTGGAGTTGTGTTGTGTCATTGTCCTGTTGAAAAACAAATGATAGTCCCACTAAGCCCAAACCAGATGGGATGGCGTATCGCTGCAGAATGCTGTGGTAGCCATGCTGGTTAAGTGTTGAATTCTAAATAAAGCACAGACAGTGTCACCAGCAAAGCACCCCCACACCATAACACCTCCTCCTCCATGCTTTACGGTGGGAAATACACATGCAGAGATCATCCGTTCACCCACACCGCGTCTCACAAAGACACGGCGGTTGGAACCAAAAATCTCAAATTTGGACTCCAGACCAAAGGACAAATTTCCACCGGTCTAATGTCCATTGCTCGTGTTTCTTGGCCCAAGCAAGTCTCTTCTTATTGGTGTCCTTTAGTAGTGGTTTCTTTGCAGCAATTCAACCATGAAGGCCTGATTCACACAGTCCCCTATGAACAGTTGATGTTGAGATGTGTCTGTTACTTGAATTCTGTGAAGCATTTATTTGGGCTGCAATTTCTGAGGCTGGTAACTCTAATGAACTTATCCTCTGCAGCAGAGGTAACTCTGGGTCTTCCATTCCTGTGGCGGTCCTTATGAGAGCCAGTTTCATCATCGTGCTTGATGGTTTTTGTGACTGAAATTTTCCATATTGACTGACCTTCATGTCTTAAAGTAATGATGGACTGTCGTTTCTCTTTGCCATAATATGGACTTGGTCAATAGGGCTATCTTCTGTTCTTTCATAGTTTTGATGTCTCCACTATTATTCTACAATGTAGAAAATAGTCAAAATAAAGAAAACCCTTGAATGAGTAGGTGTCCAAACTTTTGACCGGTAGTGTATATGCTTGGGATAATGCCTTGTAATGCTTGTAACTTAAGCTTTATGCCTTGTACGTGAATCCATTCATTGTACAATGTTAATTAAATATCTGCCTTTGATATAGACAATTCTCAGACCAATTCTTGCTATTCGACGCCAACTCATTATCTAATGCTTGCTTGTATATTTTAATTATATTTATGGACACAGATCAACATTTTAATTGGTTAATTGCTTAGTCTTATTAGCTGCCATCAGTTAACCAGCATCGGCCCAATACCGGCTAGCGTGCCAACATACTGTATATCCACCAGAGGTCTGGCTAGGCAGTTTCTAAAGACTGGCTAGGCCTTATCCCAAAGACTGGCTAGGCCTTATCCTAAAGACTGGCTAGGCCGTATCCTAAATACTGGCTAGGCCGTATCCCAAAGACTGGCTAGGCCGTATCCCAAAGACTGGCTAGGCCGTATCCTAAATACTGGCTAGGCCGTATCCCAAAGACTGGCTAGGCCGTATCCTAAATACTGGCTAGGCCGTATCCCAAAGACTGGCTAGGCCGTATCCCAAAGACTGGCTAGGCCGTATCCCAAAGACTGGCTAGGCCTTATCCCAAAGACTGGCTAGGCCGTATCCCAAAGACTGGCTAGGCCGTATCCCAAAGACTGGCTAGGCCGTATCCCAAAGACTGGCTAGGCCTTATCCCAAAGACTGGCTAGGCCGTATCCCAAAGACTGGCTAGGCCTTATCCCAAAGACTGGCTAGGCCGTATCCCAAAGACTGGCTAGGCCGTATCCCAAAGACTGGCTAGGCCGTCTCCCAAAGACTGGCTAGGCCGTATCCCAAAGAATGGCTAGGCCGTATCCCAAAGACTGGCTAGGCCGTATCCCAAAGACTGGCTAGGCCGTATCCCAAAGACTGGCTAGGCCGTATCCCAAAGACTGGCTAGGCCGTATCCCAAAGACTGGCTAGGCCGTATCCTAAAGACTTGGCCTAAGAGTAAAGTATTATAAGACAGTTTTCTTACCTACACCCCCAAAGGGCAGAGAGTTGAGGGCGTAGTGCATCATAACGTCGTTGACCGTCACCCCGCCACTGGTGGTCTCAGCCAGCATTCGCTTTACCACCTTATTGACAGAGACAGAAAGAGGGGGGGAAAGCCAGATGTCTTTTATCAGCCCCCCATATGTAAATACATACTGTACATACCAAAATAAGTACAGTTGTTGTTGCCACAGTAACAGATGATCTTCTTACAGAATATAAACTGAATTTCAACAGGAGCTCAACTAAAAGTGACCCATGCCCAATCCCAAATAAACCCCTAAGCCCTATGCCCAATTGTGGAGATTTGAGTGGATTTGGCAGGTGTAAGCTCCACCTTGTCCTCTGAAGTTTCACCATGTTGCTTTATACTAATAACGTTCTCTAAGAGCTCCACAGGTGCACAGGCCCTAGTCCATAGCTGGCTCACTAGCTCCCTCCAGACCTTACCTTCTTGTTGGAGGAGAAGACGTAGAGCGCCAGGGGCTTCTCTCTCTCGTTGAGGAAGTGGATGGCGTCGTCTATGTCACTGATGGTCACTATGGGCAACAGGGGGCCGAAGATCTCCTCCTGCATCAGCCTAGCCTGGGGGGGCACGTCCTTCACCACCGTGGGGGCTGAGGGGTCAGGGGTCAAGGTCGTTGACAGACCAAGCATAGCTCTCAAGTGTTTCAGAAATCCCAGCCGGAGGATTCCCAATTGCAACATTACGGGGAACTTTCCCAAAGTTCCAAGGCATTCCAGAAATCCCAGCCGGAGGATTCCCAATTGCAACATTACGGGGAACTTTCCCAAAGTTCCAAGGCATTCCAGAAATCCCAGCTGGATAATTCTCAAAATGGTAAATTCTTAGTTTGGAGGATTCCCAGTTAGAGCAATCCCAGTTGGGCGATTCCTGGAATCAAGAGGGACTAAGTAGGGAGGGAATCCTCCAACTGAGCCACACGTGGTCCCGTGTGCCTCACTTGGTAGAGCATGGCATTTGCAACGCCAGGGTTGTGGGTTTGATTCCCATGGGGGACCAGTACAAATTAAAAATGTATGCACTCACTACTCTGGACAAGAGCGTCTGCTAAATGACTCAAATGTAATTCTCCAATTGTGATTTCTGGAAAACCTTGGAACTTTGGGAAAGGTACCGGGCATGTTGCAACCCTTGGTCAAATATATTGCACTATTACAATCAAAGTCTGCCAACTGCTAACTAATGTGTCACCAAATATCTGTGAACCCAATGAGACTGCGTACCGATGTAGCGCTGCGACGCGTCACTCTGCCCCCCTACAGCTGCTGTGTAGCCATCCAGTAGAGCCATTACGCGGTTAAAGTGGCGCTGGTTGATGATGCGGCCGTAGTCAGGGGGAGGATTTGGGGTCAGGCCCATAAAACTCCTGGGATTAAGGAAAACAATGTGTGGATTAGATGCTAGCTGAGAGTAGCGGGTTGGTACCTACAGTCAATCAGGGTTGGGGTCAATTCAGGAAGTGAATTGAAATTAAATTCACGAATTGGGAAAATTCCCATAGAAAACAATGGACCCCCCCCCCCCCCCACCCTCCCTAAGTGTTTTATTTATGAATCTAACAATTTCATTTCACTTCCTGAATTGACTGAATTGAAAACCTGAATTGATACCATACTGTGTTCAGTAACGTACAATGTAATAAAAGTAGTAATCCATTCACAGAGCTATCGTAGCATTCTTGCTAGCTAGCTACAGTAGAGACAGAAGAGATAGAGATGAGGTAAGAGACCAGTAGTGTCTGCCGGATGCCCTCCACCACTCTGTTCTGGATGCTGGGTTCACACAGGATGTAGTCTGGGGCGATGCACGTCTGACCACAGTTCACAAACTTCCCCCACGTGATACGCCTGGGTGGGTGAACAAAACCAACATGAAAAATACACTAAAACCAAAAAAACCCACAGAGATCAAATCAATACATCCACATGAATCTTTTCCATACATATTTCATCTTTCGCATCCACCTTGAACATCTTTTCAGTTTCAAGCCTTCTGATGTTGACGGTTTGGAAAAGGAGCTAAGCATGCTGTTGTCTCATTACATATAACGACCCCTTATGGTTGAACAATTCTGGAAAAAAATCCCCAAATGCCATAGTTTTTCAGAAATCCTGGGTGGAGGATTATATATTTCCTGATTATTCCCTTCTGGCTCCGGGAATCTTCCGAATGGGATTTCTGGAAAACCTTGGAATTTTGGGAAGGTTTCCACAATTTTGCAACCCTATGACCCTTAAACCCTGCTCCTCCCATCTTTCTCAGCTTTCTACATCACCAACTGCCACCGCAAAAACATTAGCCACGATGCTAAACTAATACACGTTAGCTGAAACTGCCTAGCTAGGCAAAGATGCTAACTAGTACAAAACTCCCTATCAAAGTGCTAACTGCTAAAGCTAGCTCACTATGTCATCTCTCGCTGATAGTAACAGGTGGTGGGGCTGTTACCTTGACCAACAATATGGCTGCTATATTACAGAATACATGTACTACAGACCACATGTAAATATTACGAACTGCATTCGGGTTACTGACCGGCATGCGACTCTGAGGTCGACATCCTTATCGATGTAACAGGGGCTCTTCCCCCCCAGCTCCAGGGTGACAGGGGTGAGGTGTCGGGCGGCCGCCTCCATCACCAGTTTACCCACAGTGCTGTTCCCTGTGTAGAAGACGTGGTCGAAACGCTGACGCAGCAACTCCTGGGTCTCTGACACGCCCCCACACACTACAGGGTACAGCTCCTGGAAAGACCCCAACGTTAAAGGGACAGGTCACCCCAGAACCAAAGTTGCTAAGATGCTTGCAAATTAAGCATGCTGTGTACTATCCCTTTAAGAGTGCTGCATACTATCCCTTTAAGTGTGCTGTGTACTATCCCTTTAAGCGGGCTGCGTACTATCCCTTTAAGCGTGCTGCGTACTATCTCTTTAAGCGTGCTGAGTACTATCCCTTTAAGCGTGCTGCGTACTATCCCTTTAAGCGTGCTGCGTACTATCCCTTTAAGCTTGCTGCGTACTATCCCTTTAAGCGTGCTGAGTACTATCCCTTTAAGCGTGCTGCGTACTATCCCTTTAAGCGTGCTGCGTACTATCCCTTTAAGCGTGCTGAGTACTATCCCTTTAAGCGGGCTGCGTACTATCCCTTTAAGCGGGCTGCGTACTATCCCTTTAAGCGTGCTGCGTACTATCCCTTTAAGCGTGCTGCGTACTATCCCTTTAAGCGTGCTGCATACTATCCCTTTAAGCGTGCTGCGTACTATCCCTTTAAGCGTGCTGCGTACTATACCTTTAAGCGTGCTGCGTACTATCCCTTTAAGCGGGCTGCATACTATCCCTTTAAGCGTGCTGCGTACTATCCCTTTAAGGAGACATACAGTATTCTTCTACAGCAGACAAGGGAGAATAGAATAAGGACCTGGTCCAGATATCTTGGGAGCAGAGCTTTGAGGAGACTAGCAGAGTATTCACTCAGCTCAGACGGCTTCACCACAGCTGCATTGCCTACAGAGAGAGAGAGAGAATGAACAGTGTGTGAATGGGATGACATCACTAATAGTGTGTGTGTGAATGGGATGACATCACTCAGTGGTAGCAGAATGCAAGACAACTAGGGAGATGGATAATGGTGTGTATGTCGGTGAAGGATGAAGGGATGGAGAGACATAGCTGAATAAAAGACAACTACAGAGGTGGGAAAAGTAGGAGTGAAGGGGGCAGCTGAAGATTACACAGCTATGGAGGAATAGGGGGGGGGGGGGGGGGGGGGGGGGGGGGGGGGGGGGGCGTACCTGCAGCGATGGCCCCGACCAGGGGCTGCAGGGTGAGGGCCCAGGGGTAGTTCCAGGCCCCGATGATGAGGACCACTCCCAGGGGCTCCGGCTGGATGTACACCTTCAATTACATTACATTCAATTCAACTTTATTAATCCCCGGGCCCTCAGTCAGTGTCTAAATCATTTACATACATACACAGTTAGAAAAAAAGGTTCCAAAAGGGTATTCGGCATCCCCATGGAAGAACCCTTTTGAGTTCCAGGTAGAACCCTTTTGGGTTTAATGTAGAACCCTCTGTTGAAAGGGTTATTCAAATGGGATAGCGGCAGAACCATTTTAGGTTATAGATATAATTTTGTTTCTAACAGTGTAGTTAAGTGTAAAGGACTGCTGTAAATGGCTGATGTAAAGGACTGCTGTAAAGGACTGATGTAAAGGACTGATGTAAATGGCTGCTGTAAATGGCTGCTGTAAAGGACTGCTGTAAATAGCTTCTGTAAATGGCTGCTGTAAAGGACTGATGTAAAGGACTGATGTAAAGGACTGATGTAAAGGACTGCTGTAAATGGCTGCTGTAAAGGACTGCTGTAAAGGACTGCTGTAAAGGACTGCTGTAAAGGGCTGCTGTAAAGGACTGCTGTAAAGGACTGCTGTAAAGGACTGCTGTAAAGGACTGCTGTAAAGGACTGCTGTAAAGGACTGATGTAAAGGACTGATGTAAAGGACTGATGTAAAGGACTGTTGTAAAGGACTGCTGTAAAGGACTGCTGTAAATGGCTGCTGTAAAGGACTGATGTAAAGGACTGCTGTAAAGGGCTGCTGTAAATGGCTGCTGTAAATGGCTGCTGTAAATGACTGATGTAAAGGACTGCTGTAAATGGCAGCTGTAAAGGACTGATGTAAAGGACTGCTGTAAAGGACTGCTGTAAAGGACTGCTGTAAAGGACTTCTGTAAAGGACTGATGTAAATGACTGCTGTAAAGGGCTGCTGTAAAGGGCTGCTGTAAAGGGCTGCTGTAAAGGACTGATGTAAATGACTTCTGTAAAGGACTGCTGTAAAGGACTGCTGTAAATGGCTGATGTAAAGGACTGCTGTAAAGGACTGCTGTAAAGGGCTGCTGTAAAGGCCTGATGTAAATGGCTGCTGTAAAGGACTGATGTAAATGGCTGCTGTAAAGGACTGATGTAAATGGCTGCTGTAAAGGACTGATGTAAATGGCTGATGTAAAGGACTGATGTAGTGCTAAGACAGGTCGTCCATACTGTACCTGGTCTGAGATGGTGAGGAGGCTCCTCTCTACAGGCCGAGGAGCAGCCCACTGGGCCAGCTTCGACACAGCCAGGCTGATCTCATTCTCCAGGCCGATCAGCTCCAACAGCGGGGTGTCGTACTGGCTCTGTGGAAACGCAAGGTGAGGTTTATTGATGTGAGATATGGGTATTTCCACGGTAAACTTCCTGAACAATTTAGCAAAATGATCAACATGTATAAGTCCATGTATTTGTACAGGTTACTCCCAACACTTTAAACTTTCAAAGGCAGCCTGAGGAAGAGAGAATTCATAGTTCAGAGCCGTGTTAGTTTGTGACTTATTTACAAGGCTCATGGCCTCAGACTACCACAGCTCCAATTTATAAACTACTGTATGTTTTGAAGCTTACCCTGTTGATGTCCTGTTTGAGGGCAGTGGCGATCTCTCCCTGTCTGTCTGTGATCATCCTCTGGAGGGACTTGAGCTGCTGAACTCTGAACTCCAGGGGTCGCGACCGCCCCGCGAGGAAGGCCTCCCTGGCCTGCTGCACCACCTGCTTCTCCATGGCAACCGGTCACCAGCACACACCCAGACACACAGCCACTGTAGAGTACACACAAAGTACACCTGTTCAGACAGACACAGCGACATGTCACTAGAATACACCTGTTCAGACAGACACAGCGACATGTCACTAGAATACACCTGTTCAGACAGACACAGCGACATGTCACTAGAATACACCTGTTCAGACAGACACAGGGACATGTCACTAGAATACACCTGTTCAGACAGACACAGGGACATGTCACTAGAATACACCTGTTCAGACGGACACAGCGACATGTCACTAGAATACACCTGTTCAGACAGACACAGCGACATGTCACTAGAATACACCTGTAATGTACAGTAGACAGACACAGCGACACCCTTACACTTGTATCATACATGACTATATACTGCATCTAACTAAATGTCTTATGAAAGATCATTGTTTTTAATAATTACAGTATATTGGTTTATCATAGATTTGCCTTCGAATACTTACATGAAGAAATTGCAGAAAATTATCCCAAACCATCAAATGAATGTCCAGTGCTTTTGTGGTCTGCTAAAATCAACAAATATGAAGTAGGCCTACTGTATTATGTTTTTGAAGAGTATATTACAGCATCTAATCAACTTTGCACCTGATATGAAGCAGGATTCAACAGAGGTTGAGCACAAAAGTAGCATTTATGGTCTACAATAGAGGAATAACTACAGGGTCAACAGTACTTTGAAAGTACTATTCAGTTCTTGTTTTTTTGTTTTTTTACCGTCAACCTAAAAATGTGGAATATAAAATATTACTTAAAAATGAGTTTACATATGTTGGTTGTCAAATATGTTGAAATAATCATGAACTGGTAAATTAGGACGCTTTCACCGTCCAATAAAGAAGGACTGAACAGTATTTTGTATGTTTTATAAGCATAACTAAGTTACATCATCAAATACAGAAAAAAATTTCAACAACGTTTCCAATACTCACACATGAATGAAAGAAGCACACGGGAATATTGCCTGTTGTCAATAAGTTACATCCATTAGTCGGAAGACCGCAAAAAATAATGACAACAAATAAACTTCTACAAAAAGTTAAATCCTGCGGGACAGTGTTAAAAAAAAACGATATCAGAAACTTTACGATTCTGTGCAAACTTCTTGCATTAAAAAAAAGAAGCATTCGCCGTGTGAAAGAATGCGCCGCTATCGATGTCTCATTACCAACGAGGTCAACTGTGTTATGCCCCCCCGGTGCTGTATCTTCTGTTCTGCCCAGTTTCTGCCTCACTGACGTAACCGTGGGAGGCACGTGGCTGGACAATTAACGTTTGTTTATTGCTCGAGGCTACCGGTTGTATCGGTTTACCCGCAGATGGTAGCCTACTCAAATTAGCAGTTTTTGCATTTTTTGCTAATTAATGGCATTATTTGCCTTTGTGGAAAACGAGCTATAAAAAGGCAATGGTCAGCCCTACAATGGCCCACAAATGGTAACAATGACCCAGAATTTTCTTCATTAAATTAATTAAATATGTGTAAAATCTATATATATATATATTTCCTGAGTTACAATTTTTTTAAATCCTAGATTTAGGACAGACACTTCAAAACCTTATTATTTATTATTTGACTGTCCTTCTTGCCATTTATGAACCTGTTATTCAATTCGTTTCTATGGGCTTTTGTAGTAAAGGCCAAAATCAATATTTTTTTTCAAATCATTTGTTCATATTTCTTTTTTATATCCAAAGGGGTCCTAAAATTCAAAATAAAATAGTTAAATGATCCACAGTACACTATACATACAAAAGTATGTGGACACCCCTTCAAATTAGTGGATTCAGCAAATGTCTGCCCTGCTAGAGCTTCCCGGTCAACTGTAATTGCTGTTATTGTGAAGTGGAAACTTCTAGGAGCAACAACGTCTCAGCCAGGAAGTGGTAGGCCACACAAGCTCACAGACAGGGACCGCAGAGTGCTGAAGCACGTAGCGCGTAAAAATCGGCTGTCCTCGGTTGCAACACTCACTACCGAGTTCCAAACTGACTCTGGAAGCAACGTCAGCACAACAACGGTTGGTCGTGAGCTTAATTAAATGGTTTTCCATGGCCGAACAGCCGCACACAAGCCTAAGATCACCATGCAGGATGCCAAGCGTTGGCTGAAGTGGTATAAAGCTCGCCGCCATTGAACTCTGGAGCAGTGGAAACTCATTCTCTGGAGTGATGAATCACGGCTTCACCATCCGGCAGTCCGACAGACGAATCTGGGTTTGGCGGATGCCAGGAGAACGTTACCTGACCCAATGCATAGTGCCAACTGTAAAGTTTGGTGGAGGAGTAATAATGGTCTGGGGCTGTTTTTCATGGTTCGGGCTAGGCCCCTTAGTTCCAGTGAAGGGAAATCTTAACGCTACAGCATACAATGACATTCTAGACGATTCTATGCTTCCAACTTCATGGCAACAGTTTGTGGAAGCCCTTTTCCTGTTTCAGCATGACAATGCCCCCGTGCACAAAGCGAGGTCCATACAGAAATAGTTTGTTGAGATCGGTGTGGAAGAACTTGACTGGCCTGCACAGAGCCCTGACCTCAACCCCATCGAACACCTTTGGGATGAATTTGATTATACATTTTTTTTTTTTTATAAATGTGCAACAAACCAAGATAACTTCACTTTTGATTTGAAATGAATAACTCTTCACAGTCATATTATAGACTCATTCACAGGAAGTCTACATACTGCAGCACACCCCCTGATAAATCAGAATACAAAACAAGGCCTACACAGTAGCATATCAAGACGGCATTATCAATCCATATGAATGTGTTTGATGTGCTTCAACACTTAAACCACAACAAACACCACTAGAAATGTTTGCTGGACTCTCCATAATACAGGTTGAGAGGGAAATGGATTGAAATGATACAGGTAGTTTAATCCATAGAGATCCTATTAAAAATGATTTGCTTACTCCGATTCCTAATTCTATGGTTTCATCATACTGTTGTAGGCTATGATTCATACAGTACATTATATTTGGCTTCCATACTAAACAGAGTACCATTGGACATAATCAGTATAAAAATGGGTAGAACAACAAGAGGAGGCACATTCTTTACATTACAAAACAGGAAATAGGAAATACCCAGGAATAATACACTGAATAAGTGCATGATACTCAGTCTTTCATTGAGGTTAGAATACATTTTCAACAATGTAACAGAAATGAAATGCATAGGACACAAAATGAAATAAAAACAACTGCATTATACAGGGTTACTGGCATCATAAACATCTCTACAATGATTGATGGTTCATAACCATTGTTTAAATAAAAGTTTAATAATTTGTATTAAAAACGCAAACTATTGCAATTTTGCTAAGACTGACACTGAGCCATGACTGTTGCTCCAGCCACTACAAGTCTAAATCTGGGTCCAAGACGGTGGAGCCGCGCGTACACCAGTTTCCCCACGCCAGCCTCACCGCAGGAACACCAGTTTCCCCATGCCAGCCTCACCGCAGGAACCTCTGCAAGAAACACAAAGCACAAAATGGCTCCCATTCTCACCTCTATTAACAAAACAGGACAACAAGTGAATATGACAATCAACAGTGACATGGCAAGTCACAGAGATGAGGAGATTGGCAGTCAGATATACTTTAAAGGGACTGTTCATGTGAGGACGAAGTGTAGAGGTCAACAAACAGAGGTACAGGAAAACAAAGGCCTCATTTAATGGAGGAGAATGGTGCATGCTGGGTAATTAAAGGGGGCTGTAGATCATGTAGCTAGTGTTGTGTGGTTAGATTTCTTCAACAACACCATACATTGTCTGACGGTGACAAAGCCATTCTTGTGTTGGGTTGTGTCCCCAATGTCACCCTATTTACTATATAGTGCACTACTTTTGACCAGAGCTCTATGGGCCCATAACCCTAGTCTTTGGAGCTGTGGGAGAATGTTCTCATAATGCATCTTGAAATCTCTTGAGAAAATGTACTTTTTTTACGATGGGACCACGAGAGAAAATAGAAGCATTTCCCATTTAGACACACAAATAGCTCATTGAATAACAATAGCTGGGTTTTTTTTTCTTTCCCAAGATAATAATTTAATCGTATTAATAAACTCAACTGTTTTCATATGAAAACAGAACCGTTGACAACATAAACTATGTATGCTAGAAACACACTCTATTCAGCCAACAAGCTGCAGTATGAGTCAGTCAGAGTGACACACAATAAACTGCTATGAATTCATCCTAAATGCACCCTATTACCTATTTAGTGCATACAAGTAGTGCCATTTGGGAGGCACTCTATATCTCCCTCTCTTCCTTGGATCACTGGTCGCCGAGAGGTTCTCGTTATTAAATCAGTCACGAATGACCGAGACACTCCAGTCCCGCCCTGCCCTCACACAGACCACTATGGTATTTCAGTAGGAGGGGCCCTGATGACCAGCGGAGCTAAGACAGAGATCTATTGTGGGGATCTCAACTGTGCATCGTATCCACTTATGGGATGCGTCCCTAATGGCACCCTATTCCCTACATAGTACACTACTTACCCCATTGGGCCCTGGTCAAAAGTAGTGCACTATATAGGGAATAGGGTGCCATTTGGGACCTATCCATGCTTCTCTAAACCAGTGGTCACCAACCGGTCGCGATCGACTTATCCAGAGTGACTTAGTAAACCCCATCACAGAGTTCTGAAATCCAGAGTGACTTAGTAAACCCCATCACAGAGTTCTGAAATCCAGAGTGACTTAGTAAACCCCATCACAGAGTTCTGAAATCCAGAGTGACTTAGTAAACCCCATCACAGAGTTCTGAAATCCAGAGTGACTTAGTAAACCCCATCACAGAGTTCTGAAATCCAGAGTGACTTAGTAAACCCCATCACAGAGTTCTGAAATCCCGAGTGACTTAGTAACACCCCCATCACAGAGTTCTGAAATCCAGAGTGACTTAGTAAACCCCCATCACAGAGTTCTGAAATCC